GGCAGTGTCTGCTTCCTGGTGGGTTACAATGAGTTTTGTGACCCATCTCCAGAACACTCTCTAGTCCCCTTCCCTTCCTTTTCTCTGTAAATTCAGGGGTGGTAGTTGTAAGGTCCATTCCTGGACGGTGAATAGACCTCGCCCAGTACCTAGGCAACTGGGACACCTGGAAGAGGTCACATCTGCATCCATGAGGTCACATCTTAATCTGATGTGGCCACACCTTTCTCCCCCCTGGTCCCACCTCTTACCTGATCCCACTTCCCTTTACCTGGACACACCTTTCCCCACCCCCTACCCTATATAAGGCCTAACCCGGGGCCAGAAGGTCTCTTTTGCCAGCTGAGTGGAGTGCCAACCTTGCCTGGTCCCAGCAGGTCTACTGAATAAACCTACCCCTTACCTGAATACCATGTGCGTGGTGCTGTTCTTACTCGGCTACCTCAACAGTAGTATATAGATTCTCTTGAAATAAGGATACTGGGTGTAACTGGCACCATCTTGGCCACATGGTGGATGATAGAGAACTGGGTTTAACAGGCCCTGTTGGGAAAAGGGAGAACAAAAAAGGAAGAGGCCGGATTCAATCGTCAACAGGAGGAAACTTTATTGGGGAACAGTGAGGGGCAAAGACCTTCCAATGGGATTGGAGGTTGTGCAAGGCCCTGGTTTTTGGGGTGGGCTTATATAGGGCTTAGCAAGGAAACAATGGGCTATGGTCTCCTTGGGATCAAGGGTGATGTCCTTGACCAGGCCTACAGTGGAATGTTGGGTGTGGGGGCTGTTGTCTCCGTCTCCTGGGGGCTGAGGTCGGAATGACCTGCCTGCAGACAAGCATATGAGCACACACTGGTGCTTTGCTTGACCTTGGGGAATAAGGGAGGACTCAGTCCTTCAGGGGCCATCTTGTCTTCAAGGTAGAGGAAAATGGAGTCCTACACCCCAGGTGATGGGAGTGTCTGAATTCCTAAAAGCAGGGTTGGAACTTGGACAATAGGTTACTGGACCTGCCAGTCTTGCATCATGGACTCTCAAGCTCCCTGTGACCCTGCCCCCTGACCAGGACCCTATTTAGGCCCAGACCAACTCAGGTGCAATTAAGCCATGCCTCCTGTCTCCCGGCTCTTCTCTGGTCACCATGGCATCCTTCTTCAGCTCTCCATTGGAGTTGATCTGGTTTGTTGGTATTGTTTTTCTGCTCTTTCCTTACTTTCCTACTTTCATGGTATTGTAGGTGAATCATCCCAGAAACTACATTTTAAAATACAGAATGTTGGAGTCTTTAGTATACAGTCAGCAGGCTGCAGGCAGCCAGTTGTACAAAGGCCTTCAGCCCCCAAATACACATAACACACAAGACCAAATACAAGACACTCAAGACCAAGAAAAAGTCCGCTGAGGTGAGGTCTCTCCCACTGTGAGTGGGGACCTCCTCCCCCAACACAACTATATCCAGAACTCTCTACTGTATGAGAGTACTCTTGGAGGGACTTGATCCACAGATCTTCCCACCAGAGGCTGCACCTCTCCACAGTCTGCCGAGTGAGCCACTCCCACTCAGAGCCACCAGAAACTCTCACCCCGATCGGTGGGAGAGGAAGAATGGGTTGACGAGCATGTCTGCTCCCCTATCCTCTTCAATTTCCAGGTGGACCAGCCCCCAGGTTTCAGAAAAACATATGAACATAATACAGGACAGAGAAACACAGACTTACTTCCAGAAGATTTCTAAGTGACTCCAAAAAGATGTCTGGATGGCAAGTCTGGCGTCAATGAACTGGCTGTCAGAGTGGCAGAAAGACCACAGGGCCCTGGAACTTCTCAGGGGGTACATCTCCTCTGTAGGGGTTTCTGTCCCCTGGCAGCCAGCCAGCAAGACCATTCACCAGTGGCTTCAAAGAACCCAGATGCCCTCCTTGGCACTGGGATCTCGCTGGGGCCTCCATATGTTGTAGGGTGAATCATCCCAGAAGCCACATTTTAAATTATAGAATATTGGAGTCTTTATCATACAGTTAGCAGGCTGCAGGCAGCCAGTTGTTACAAAGGTCTGCAGCCCCCAAATACACATAACACAGTTAGGAAACATGGCAGAGAAGAAAAAAAGAACAAATACAATACTAACAATACCAACAATCCAATTCAGCCCCAATGAAGAGCTGAATTGGGACACCATGATGACTGGAGATGAGCCAGGAGACAGGACACAGAGACACAACACAGAGACACAGGTGGCATCCTGGCTGTTAGGCTGGTCCTGGCCTAAATAGGTCAGTGCAGGGGGCAGATCCACAGGAAATTCCCAGTCCCAGGCACTGGACTGACAGATTCAGTAACCTATCAGCCAAGTGCCCACCCCTGCCTCCAGGGATCCAGGCATGCCCATCACCTGGGAGGCAGGTGATAGGCAGGGGGTTTCCTTCCCCCCTCCCCCCCTAAAGACAAGATGCCAGACCTTTACATCCACCATATGGCCAATATGGTGCCTGCCAAACCTGACAGCCTTACTTCACAATGGCTCAGTTTTCTAACAGTGTTAAGTGTATTCAAGGTGACTGTAGGTCTTTGAGACAGGAGTCTGCCTGTTGCCACCAGCTTTCTGATAAAGACTCCCAATTTGACCCCTCAAAATGTGGCTTCTCTGTTTTCTCATGATTGAATTCCCACATGATAACTCTAAACTCAGCCTTATAGTCCTATAAATTGTCACTGAAAAAGCTAAAATCTTTGCAAGATACCTTCAGTCTCCCCTTGGGGAGACCCCTGACTAAGTTATATTGCCTCTGAAATACGGATACTGAGTCTAACTAATGCCATCTTGTTCTCACGGCCATTTTGGCATCTTAACAGATGAAAGGAACTGTCCAAGAGGGAACTCTGGAGGTGACATAGCCATTTTTTGAATTGCAGCTATAGTATGTTGTTTAGCTCCAGGAAAGTTTTGCTCCAGAGAATATTTGCCCTTGGTTGTCTTTGATTGTTCCCCCTAGATAACTGGCCCTTGATTGTTCCCCTAGATAACTTGCTTCATTTATGTATAACATGCATTTGCTAGGTTTAGTTCCCGCACACTCATCTTGGGGTTATTGCCTTAAGTAGGTAGCTACATTCAAGGCTGCAAGTTTTTTGGGACATGAGTTGGCTTGCAGTTCCCGGCTTTCTAATGAAGACTTTGTATTCAACGTCTCAAAATGTGGCTTCTCACTGGGCAATAATGGCATGTAATCCTACTCAGGAATCTGAGATCTGAGGATCCTGCTTCAAAGCCAGCCCAGGCAAGAAAGTCCATGAGACTCTTATTGTCAATAACCACCAGAAAACTGAAGTGGTGCTGTGGCTTAAGTGGTAGATTGCCGAATTCAAGCCATATGACTGCAGAAAAAAAAAAAAAAAGTGGCTTCTCTGTCTCATTGATCAAATTCCGGTCTAATTCTACCTGGGAAATCTACTGTAAGTAACCAGCCACCTAAAAGATGTGTGCATGTACCGTCAACATTCAGAACGAGGAGTCATGATTGAATGGACTGAGAGCTCTTCCTTCCTGCCCCAAGAAGTCCTGAACCCCTAGTTAACAGGCAGTCTGGCATATTAATAGGCCACAAGCTCACTAAGTGTTTCCTAGAAACAGCAACCTGGGGCCCCAAGTCTCAGCCCGAGCGCCCCTCCTCCTCTCCTCTGCCATACACCTGCCGAGCAGCAGTACCTGCCATAACTGGATCAGCTAGCTGGCAGCCTGTGTTTTGTTATTGTGTTCGCAGAAGGAAGTTCCTCCACGTGATTTTTTTTTTTTTTTTTGCAGGACTCAGAAAGGGAGAGTACAGTATGTTCCGGGGTGAAAAGCTTGGGAAGGAGGGATGCACATTTTAGTTTCACCCCCACATTGCTGCCTTTCCAATTTAAGAATTGCACACACACACACACACACACACACACACACACACACACACGCCCTCCCACAGTAGCCCTGAAACATTATTTATGTGGGATTAAGTCTGAGCCCTAGAGACTTAAGGAGTTGGTCATGAGTCCTCTCCTAAACTGTTACTCACCTGAGACACTGTGCTAATGCTGAAAAAAAAAAAAAGATTATTCTAGGCAGCCAAGGAGCATGGTATTCTTTTCAGAAACATTTTCATCTGGGCGGGCCTGGTGTTTGAATGGTGGGAAACACTTTGAACCATAAAGGCACATTTAAGACGCCATTGCTATGGAGACAGGAATGCTGTGCATTTCTGAGTGCTTTTCGCGGGGCGTTTGGGTGTCTTCTCCCCCAGGGGTCCCCCGCACGAGAGTTGGGGGGCAGCCACTTGGGATAGGAACCCTGTCCGGGGATGGGAGGCCCCGTGGGAGTGTGTGCTGGGGGTATGGGGGGGGAAGGGTCTGGACGGGGTTCTCAGGATAAGCAGTCTCCTCCCCCCTCCCTTCCCCGCACCCCCAACTTGGCCTGCTGTGCCAAGACCACGTGCAGGAGCTGAGCGTGGGGCTCCCGGCGCGCAGCCGCGGCGGGTGGCAGCACCGCGTCCGGGGGGGACCCGCTGGGTGCGTGAGGGGGTCTCCGGGCGCAGTCGAGGTGGGCGGAGGGCCCCCCACCCGCCGTCCCTCCCCTCCTCTCCCCCCTCCCCCCCCCCCCGTCGGCGTGAATGTGTGTGGCCTCGGCTCGGCCGGGCGCCCCGCCAAGCGGCTGCTGCGGCCCGGAGAGCGCGCGCGCCCGTGCGGGGTGTGTGTGAGAGTGAGTGTGTGTGTGTGTGTGTGTGTGTGTGTGAGAGAGAGAGAGAGAGAGAGAGAGAGAGAGAGAGAGAGAGAGAGACAGCGTGTCAGGTGACTCGGGTCACGCAGGCTCTCCCTCTCCTCCTCCTCCGGGAGGCTCCTCCGCCAGCGGCCGGGCGGGCCGGGGAGGGCGGGCCGGGGAGGGGGCTCGGCGCGCCGCGGGACCCGGACCTGGGCGCCGCCCGCCGCGGGGCGCGCGCGGCCCCCGCCTCCACCAGCGCCCGCCGGGCTGCACACAAAACCCCAGGTCACAGCTCCGGGCTGCGGGCTGCGGGCGGCCGGCGCGGAGGCTCGGCGCCCAGCCGGGACCCCCGCCGCCCCGCGCGATGAGCCAGGTGCTGGGGAAGCCGCAGCCGCAGGACGAGGGCGACGCGGACGACGACGAGGAGGACGAGCTGGTGGGCTTAGCGGACTACGGGGACGGGCCCGACTCCTCGGACGCCGAGCCGGACAGCGGGGCGGAGGAGGGAGGTGAGCGCCCGGCCCCAGCCCTTCTCGTGGGGACGGGGGGGGGGTCTCGCCGCCCCTGGCCGGGCCCTGGAGCCCATCCAGGGCAGCGGACTGGAGCGGTGGGGGTGGGGAAGGCAACTGCGGGAGCGACTTGGAGCTGCGAAATGAGGTGGGGGGGGGGGAGAGGGCTGGAGGCCGCCTCGGGGGTGCGGAAGAAACTGGGATCGGCGGGGCCGGGGAAGGAGGAAGCCCCCCCGGCTTCGGGGACGGCGCCTCCTCGCGCGCTCGGCCGGCTCCAGGGGCTTGGGGAGGGGACGGGGCCGCCGGCGCGCTCCGGACCTCCCGGGACGCGGCTGCTTCAGCTGGGGTCAGATGTCGTGGCTAAAAAAAGGCATCTGCGGCTGGCGTGATTGGCAGGGTCTCGGGCAGCTGCGAGTGTCAGTCTGGCCCCGCGCTGCCACGTGGGGGGGGGGGGGCTGGGGCCGCTGCGGGTGGGCGGCGGTCCGGTGGCGGGGCGCGGGGCGGTGGGTGTGTGCGGGGCGGGCCCAGGGAGTCCGAGCCACCGCGGGTTTCTCGGGATCCAGGCGAGTACGGTGGTTAGGACACCTTCTCTGCGCTCCGTTGTCACCAGCCGGGCATGGCTGTGCCCGCCGGCTGCGTGAACTCTGCCATCCAAGCAAACTGCTTCTGGTTCTGAGAGCCGATTCGCACAGCGGGGGTCCGGAGGCTTCTCGCGTTTTATTCATAATGCCCAAGGAGCTTGAGGGGTTTGAGACCCCCAGAGTGATCTTTAAAAAAAAAAAATCTTCCTCTGAAGGAAGCAAAAAATCTTATAAGAAGGTCACTTGAAAAGGTCAGGTGAAAGTGGCTGTTAGCCTAGGAACAACTATTTTAATAATGTTTCCTACCGGAGAAATTATGGGTGGAATACCACTCTCTGTGTGGACTGTTTGCCAACTTTTATTGAGAATGCAGTGAACTTTCAGTCCTTCCTACAAAGCCTTTCTCCTAGAACGCTTTTGATCCTTGTACACCTAGGAAGCACGACTTTCAGTGAATCAGGAAGAAGATAAGGGAGCTTATAAATTTCCTTTTTATTCCTAGCGTCTGCTCTCCGGGGACAGTTTGTACTAATTCCCCATTTGCTTAAAACTGGCACCTGCACCTGTGCGACTCTTTCTCCATTCTCCAGCACTCCCTCTAATTGGTCCCACAGTTCAGCACCCCCACCACATTTCTGTAGATAAAGGCTTTTAACCCTTTTATTGGAGTCCCTAGAGCTACTTTTCATAATTAAATCGGTCCGTCGCTTCATTATTATTTAAATTGCTTGTGTTGGCTCCTCCCAGATATTTTGGAGACTGGGGAGGGAAGCTGAATGGGGAATCTATTTGAAATGGTGGGGTACATTGGGGTACAAGTGAAAAGCCAGTAATTTGATATTACTCTGGGGGCCAGAGAGGTTCCCGGAATACATTGGACCTTGTTGTTGCTTCTGCAGTTTTTTTAAGGGAGCACTTTTAAAATTTGGTTGGGGATCTGGAAATTAAAGTGGAAGTACAGCCCCAGGGCAGGATTCCTTGAACAAAGGCTTTTCCTGGAGCCAGATGTGGAGGCAACCCTTGGTGCTAACCTAAATACTAACCTGCCTGGAACTGATGTTTTGATGACTTCAGTAATAAAATCCTCCCACGTGAGTTCCTGGGATCAGCCTGGATCTTGCTATAAAAGGATCAAATATGTTTATGTGGTGAGAAGAGCAACACATTAATATTTGCTGTGGTCAGGTCACTGAGGCCTTGCCTCAGTGGGAGAGGGGGCTCTTTCCTAAAGACTTCCTCTTTTGGCTTCTTTGCAGGTTTCCCTGGCTTTGGGTTTAGGCCTTGATGTAGAATCTGTACCCAAAAGTTTGCCTTTCCCAGTGGCAAGTGGGTTCTTGGGCTAGCAGTTCTGGGGGACTGCCCCTGTTCACTAATTTGATTTCAGTTGTGATTGGGAGGGATGAAGCCAAGACTCATGACTTCTCTATCTGTGAAAATATGGCTGGGCCAGGCTCTGGTGGCTCACGCCTGTAATCCTAGCTACCCTGAGATCTAAGGATTGAAGATCAAAGCCAGCTGGGGCAAATAAATCAGAGATACCCTTATTTCCAGTTAAACACCAAAAAGCTGGAAATGGAGGTGTGACTCAAGTGGTAGAGTACCAGGCTTGAGTGAAAAAGCCAAGTGAGAGAGTTCAAGGCCCTCAGTACTAACACAAAAACAACAAAAATTGGCTGGTGCAGGGGTTTTGTTTGGGGTAAAATTTATGTTTACCTACTCTCAAATTTAAGAAATATTGAAAAAAAAAAAAGGACTTACTCTGAGAAAAGATGGATTTGGTGCACTTGGAAACATGAATGAAAGATTTATCTAGCAGAACTTCTCTTCCCCTTCCCCTTCCTTAACTGACTTGGATTGGTTAGTTGCTTGAGACCTGGACCAGGAGCTCAGAAATCAATCCTGGAGGCTTGGCTGGGGTTGTTGGAGGGTGGAGGGGCTAGGGAGTTGGGTTGGGGAGAGTAGGGAGAGGAGAGATAGGGAGACCTTGGGTGTGGCATGCAGGACCAGCTAGCCCCTTTAAGTTTCCTGGCAGTCTGTCAGGACCTGTGCCAGAGGGTGTAGACTGAGGGTGGACAAGCACAGTCTTCCTTTCCCTCAGACTGGTCTGTAAGACTTGTGAAGGCGCCACTGGTCCTGGGTGTAAATTGAGTGCCTTGTATGTTTTACCATGCCGGGCTAAGTTTGCAAGTGTAGTGCAGCTGAGGTGAGGCTGAAATTGTACATCTCTGGCTCCCACTCCATATTTTATTCATGAATAGCATGAGTGTTCCCAGGCACTTAAGAACTGTTAAGGAGTGCTGGGACACTTCTCATTCCTCTTCATAGTAGTTAGTCACAGATAAGGTATGTTTCACCTTAATTAAGCCATCAGAAACAATTACACTGGAGCTGAGAGGTGTGTAGCACAGTAGTAGTACTGCCTGACCTAGACATTAAGTTGCAAAGCACTGTCTGTTAGGAAAATGGAGGGGAACAGAAAGGAATAGACTGGACTCAGTTCTTAACAGGCTAGGATTGTTTATTGCCATTGAGGGGCACAGACCTTCCTATGGGTATGGAGGTTGCCCAAGGGGCTGGATTTTGGGGTGGGCTTATGAGTCTTAACAAGGAAGTAGAAGATAAAAAAAATAGACTACAGTCTCCTAGGGACCAAGGCTGATGTCCTTGGCCAGGCCTAGAGCGGAATGCTCCACCTGGGGTCGGAATGACCTGCCTGGGGACAAGCACGTGAGTGCACACCTGGTGCTTTGTTTGACCTGGGGGAATAAGGGGGGGAGGGAGTCAAACCTTCACTGCCCCCCTCCCCCCTCCCCCCCACCCTCATAACACCTCACAACTTCACCGGAAATACTGATTAATTTTAGGCAACACAGGTTTTAAATCTTTTGCTAATGGTTGTGCTTGAAAGCCTGTAATTCCAGGAAATGAAACGAGGTGTTTTTTGTTGTTGTTTTTCTTTTCTTTTTGTCAGTTGTGGGGATTGAACTCTGGGCCTAGGCACTGTCCCTGTGCTCTTCAGCTCAAGGCAAGAGCTCTACCACTTGAGCCACAGCGCCACTTCTGGTTTTCTGAGTGGTTTATTGGAGATAGTTTCACAGCCTTTCCTGCTGGGGCTGGCTTTGAACCCTGATCCTCAGATCTCAGCCTCCTGAGTAGCTAGGATTACAGGCATGTGCCACCGGCACCCAGCTTGGTTTTCTTTTTTTGCTGTTTTTGTTTCCCCCCCCCCCTTTTTTTTTGCTTTCTTTCCGTTTTTGGAAGTGTAAGGCGAGACACAGGAATGGAGAGACAAAAGGTGAACAAATGCAGCAATGGAACTCACTAGAAACGTTTAACATGAACTTTACAACTTGTAGGTGGGATGGGAGGAAGAAACTGGGAGAGAGTGAGGGAAGAGTGACATTGTCCAAAAAGAAATGAACTCATTACCTGACTTATATAACTGTAACCCCTTTGCACATCCCCTTTATAATAACAATAAAAAATCAAAAATAACCTGTAATATAAGCCGGAAGCTGATGGCTCAGATAGGGTTTTGCTGAAAGGAACTACCACATAGTCCAGGCAGAAGAGAGTATTATCTGAACTGTCAGCACACATGCAGTGGAAGGTGCTTGGAGAAGGGAAAGGGCAACCTCTGGCAGGATTGGGGTTAGTGTAGGGAGAGGTTGGGGAGGAATTGTAGCTATGCTGGAGGCTGAAGTCTGAGGATTGCAGTTTGAAGCCAGACTAGGCAGGAAAGTCCATGAGACTTACCTCCAATAAACTACTCATGAAAAGCTGGAGGTGACACTGTGGCTCAAGTGGTAGAGCACTAGTCGTGAGCAAAAAAAGCTCAACGACAGTCCCCAGGCCCTGAGTTCAAGCCCCACGACTAGCAAAAACAAAAAGAGCACCGTGTAATATCAGGTACTAACAAGGGAAACATTTAAAAGATCATTTTAAAATATGTAATTAGAAGCCAGGTGTTGGTGGCTCACTCCTGTAATCCTAGCTAGTCAGGAGACTGAGTTCTAAGGATCATGGTTCAACGCCAGCCCAGGTAGGATAGTCCGTGAGACTCTTATCTCCAATAAAAACCACCAGAAAACTGGAAGTGGCGCTGTGGCTCAAGTGGTAGGGCGTTAGCCTTGAGCTGACAAGCTGAGGGACAGCGCCGAAGCCCAGAGTTCAAGCCCCATGACCGACCAAAAAAAAAAAAAAATGTAATTAGAGCCTGGTGCCGTGGCTCAGGCCTGTAATCTTAGCTACTCAGAAGGCTGAGATCTGAGGATCGGGTTCAAAGCCAGCCCCGGCTGGAAGCTCCGTGAAACTCTTTTATCTCCAATAAACCACCAGAAAACCGGAAGTGGTGCTATGGCTCAAGTGGTCGAGCACTCACTCACCTTGAGCTGAAGAGCTGAGGGATTACGCCCAGGT